AAATTTCATAAGAGCTTTTTCAAGCTGCAACGTCTTTGAAGGGATGGACAAAAAAGGTGGGTTTCAAATTTTATCTAGACTTGGTAAAAAACAATCCCTATTTTTTCAGTGCCTGATGAGTATACTCAAAGCTCCCCCCTTTGCCTTCTGCCTCTCCAGAAATCTCAACAAAAACTAAGGAATTGATTCTTGCCCCACTGAAATAACAGCAAGTCTCTCCCCTCATTCTAATCAAGCTAAAACTATGTCCACAAGTCCCAATTTAAGATTCCCCCCCTCCCAGTACTCCCAACAAGAAATCTTAGCACCAGTGTACACCCGTTTTCTGCTACAATCTCTTCTCACTCCCACAGTACAATGACTAATGGATCTGTTCATCCAGGAATCACATTTTTCCATATTATTCAGGGACAGATTCTCCATTCAGAACTAAAAGTAAATGCTAGGAGGTCAGCAAAAACGTGGTGAGCCTCCAAATTAAGAGAACTTTTCAAAACTGCAGAGTGCAGTTTTCAAAAGTGACTATATCAGTTAGTACCACAAGCCAATGATTTTCAGTGCAACTTCTGAAGTTGTACAGGTATTTTTGAAAAATACCACCAGGATCATCATCAAATCTACCTGTTAGAGTGTGAGACCAAAATCTGGTGATACTAAAATAGCTTTCCAGGGGAAAGGTGAAAGGGAAAAAAGGTGGAGGGAAGAAAATTCATTTCAGAATCACAAAGTTTTGTTTTGAAAGATGCCATCTCTTTAATGACTACCCACTTTGTGACTTTTGCACAGTATCTTGACCTGCTATAAAAACATAAAATCTTCCTCCATTTTTTTTAATAACATTTTTATTGCTTGGGAAAGCTTAACAAGAAAACACAAAAGTTCTGATTTAAAGATTAAAAATATTGAAGCTTTTACAGCAGAAATTCTTTAAACTGCTAACCTCCCCACTGTTATCTCTTGCCTACATTCTTTTGCTGACGCTGGGACTACATTTTCAGTAACTGTTGTGATAAGTGGATAACATACCCACACAAAATTCTGGGTCTCCCCCACCCACAAAAATTTCACTCTACAGTTATTTAAATAAATCAAATTATCCTAAACTGGGGGTGTGGAGGGGGGGCAGGGCACATAGGGCTTACACAAGTGGTATTTCAACAAAATGATTCACTAAATCATCTTGTATCTCCTGAGGCACAATTGCAAAATAGTACCTGCCATGGCACGTGCCAAGAAGCAGTGACATTTTGGCTGAGATCATGTGCTTGAGCTGCTTTAGACCTTTTAAAATTCACACAATCCTGACAGAGAAGGGCTACAGTTCCTTGGAGCTATCTGATCTTTTAGGAGTACTCAGTGGTTGGACAACACAGCACTGAATTCAACATTCATGGCCAAGAAGATGGAATTTTATAGCAATTATACAAGAATTTTTAAAACAAAGAGAGTGGAAGGAGGGACTAAACCCAGGACCTATCCTTGCAACAGAATCATGATCCATCTTCAGTTCCACGAATCTTGCATTTCTGTAAAAAGACATCAGTTCAGTATTAATCCCAGGCACATCCGTATCCTGGAACACTCTTCTGGAAAACAGGTGCCTGAGTTAGAACCTCATCTTTTTAACACGGGTCCTCAATCCACCTCTTCTATTTGTTGTTCCATCATTCACTCAGCAAGTAAATTACAGTGCAACAGGTGAGTGTCCTGTTCCCTCCACACCTCTGAGTCAAAAAGCATAATTTCAGGGTCATAGCAATTGTTGTATCACAGTGTTATATACATCCCGGATTCTCACTGCTACCTTGTGTTCGTACACATTTAGTTCTGCACAGGACTAATGAGCTCGGAAAGAGCACCCCACTAGCTCACTTACACCACACGGAGCTGCACAGCAGATGCATCAGCCCTCTCCAAGCCAGCCCACAGACCTCTAACCCAGCAGCAGGCAGACATATCCTTATTGCTTTGCAGGGGACGCCTCAAGTTCCACACAACTGCCTAAGTTGGTCATACTTTGAGTAACACGTTATTTCAGCACAAGGTTGTTTCACCTAAACTGAGACCAGAAGAAAACGCAAAGATTCTCTGTTCTGATCATTTGCACAAAACAAGTCCCTCCATTAATTCTTGCATCATGCCCAATAGCTTGTGATAGATGGAACATATCTTTCAGACAGGCAAGTCTGCTCAGTGCCAAATTGCTCTGTACGTAGGCAAACAGTGATATAGACACAGCATTCTACAGAGCAAGGATCAATTTATTTTAAAGGACATTAAAAGTAGGAGAAAAGCTATTTAAAATACAAGCAAAAGGGACTGCTTTTTAAATGAGGACTAGGTATTCAAATAAAAAGATTAAAGAGATAAGGTAAAAACATATTTTAGTAAGAATAACAGTATTTTTTTTCAAATAAACAGAAAATCTGAATAATTACACTGACAAACAGCCACAGATATAAGAAAAGAATGCAGTAAACCTCAAAATGCATAGCTATTCCATCAAATTGCTAAATTCTGCTCCATATGTACAGGCTAAGTGCGTTTTATAAACTACGTGGCCCTGCAGTGCCAGAATGATAATCTTACTGATGGTAGAACATACTAGTACTAAACATGTTACAAACCAAGCAGGAAACAGACCAGAAAAGAAGATAAATGCCGAATACACAGAGAAAAGCCTCAACATATTTACTTCTTTTTTCCAGTAAAGATTCATTAATTATGGGGAATACAAGGCACATAAACTAGTTTTGGCAATACCTGCGGGGGGGGAGGGGGCAGTGAATGGGAATAACAACATGTGAAAAAGCTGTTGATCAGAACACCATGGTTCCTAATTATACGGGTCATTTCTGACATTCATCTAAATTAAGAGTTTTCTGTTTATCACTGGCTATTGCCAGATGGATTGAACTGATAAAAAAGGGCTTCCTTCTACTCCAACAATTGCAATGCAAGTCTACAGTTTCATATTCAGTGCTGCTGAAACGTTTTGAAAACGTGTTGAAAACAACACGTTTTCCCTCTCCCTCTCTCCTCTTCAGATTGTTCCCAGATTCCACTACCTATGGATTGCATCTGCACAAAGTGAACTGGACTAGAGGACTGAGCTGACTGAAAATAACCACCAACATTCTTTCCCAAAAGGCAATGTTTATGGCAGCCCCAAAGAAATGCAACTGGAACTGCAGCTTAAGTTTGATTAATAACTTTCGTTTTAAAACGCTCAACCATCCCTGTAATGATAAGGTCACAATTCCTCACCCAACAGTGGTTATTGCTTCTAGATGTTTTTGAGGTCATGCAATGAACTAGCTCTGGACATTAGCCTGCCTGAAAAAAACCAGCCTTTCCTCTCCTCTCCTGCAGCACTTTTCAATTTTTTGGTGGGCACATGGTGGAGGAGATGAAGAGGGGAAAAAAATAACTATTTCACTTGGATCAGATCATTGGGTTGAATAGCTTTTTGGCAGCAAAAACATTTGTTCTAGGACAAGAGAAGGGGCAGTGCAGTGGCAGGAACCAATGGGTAAGATCAGAGCCTGCTCACAGCAGCTGAAGCAGTGCTTTTGCAGAATGTGTCATCACTGCCCAGCACCATAAAGCACTTTGAAAGTGTTAGGAATATTTGAATTGCACCATCAGAGTCAATTTCTGTCTGATAAGAAATGAAAGAACATCTTTACTCTAAA